TTCCTCGGAACGCAGTGTTTTCTGGCAATTTACAAAGGCACAACAACTGTAACAAAAGAACAAATAACTGTTGGCAATAATCATAGTTGACTATAAGTTCTGCAATGTTTTCAATTACAATTTGGACGGTTATTGTCCAATTACAATTATAGTGTTTATAATAAAATTGTAGGTGAAAGTTATTGTTGTGACAATTCTTTCAAGTTACTATATAATCATTTACTTGTTCATATTCATAATTTTTTGTAGTTAGAAATATTCTTCTGCTGTAAACTGGAAGCGTTTAATATAATTTTATATCGAGTTCAAAGATTAACAACAATTTTCGTACTCGAAAATGTGTTTCGACAATATGTAAAGTACAATATGTAAAAAGTTTATTAATAAATTTTATATGTAAAATAATAATAATGGTGTTTTTTGTAGGATTTTAGAATCGGCAATTGCCAATAAATATAATCATATTTGCTTTTTCTGTAAGAATCCCTCTAGGCATAAAACTTTACAGCATGTGAAATATGATTCGTACCATTAAAATCAACACAATCTATATCGAAACGGGTCGTTATAGTGAAGCGGAAAACAATCATTTTATACAACAAATTACAACTCACAAGTATTAAATTTATATGTATAGATCAATTCATTCATATTTAAAGTCTATAATTATATAAAACTTACATTCCTGGTATTAACAGAGAAAAAGTAAATAAATTCAAGAAGCATTGTAAAGTTTGTCAAGATGTAAGAAAGAAGTACAGGGCTGGTAGAAAATGTGAAAGTATCAAAGTAAACATTATAGTCAAACCATTATTATATGTATTTATTATTTTCAAAAAATTTCAATTAATTTTAATAAAAGCTTTTTGCATATGGTAAATTTTTATAATTATTAACTCTTTAAGCCCCGATCAATTTTTGATATTAATGTAATTAAACATAAAAAATACTTAAAACTGAAAAAAAACGAAAGAAATGCTTAATTTTGAAGAAAAAGCTTTAAATTTTATTTTCCTTTGTCTCGCCTTTCTGTGAAATTTGACACTGACCAGCCATTGTTTACACAGCTGAATGACCTTGAGAACAGCTGGAGTCGGATTTCCCGGGACATTCTCATAGAAGTCTCGGGAGGCGATGGGTTTATAGTACGGTGAATACTAGTTGGCCATATATTTTTAAATACAGTATTTTTAAAAAATTAAAAGTTTTATTGCGATTTCCGAACCCCCGACTTAATTAAACTTATATATAATAAAATCTATTAATTAAAAAAATTAATAAACTATTGGAGGTCGTTTTTTATATCAGAAAGTAGCTTTAAATTACTTTACCGAAGTAAAATCCGTGCACTACAACTTTAGAACAATGAATAAATTTGATATCAAAATCCCATTAAAAAACAATTAAGCGTTAATCGCGCGTCATTAAAGGTTGACTAAAATCGCGATAATATTTTTTCGCGAGGGTAAAAATTTTTGAAAAAATTTGGAGATCTAAAAAACATTCCAAAAATTCCAAAAAATTTCGAATGTAACCTTAACGACCGAGGTTTTCGTAACGCTATGTAACATGCCCGAGATATCTCAGGCTTGGGACTTTTAGTGTATATACTCGTATATTCATTAAGTGTATTGATAAATTTAAATCACTGTATACATGTTAAATTTGTGTACAGTAAAAAGCTTTAATTAAAATTAAAGTATGAATTGTTGTATTTTGTGGCAGAAAACAGTCGAGTGTTATTTCTTGAAAGGTACCACGTGATGTCAGATTTCTTACGTGACCCGCATGACGAAAACGATAAAGAAGAAACACGTCACAAATGAAACGTCTGACCAACTGTAATTCTCCGATGTTTCCTTCGTAAATTTATAACATTTCTGAATAAATGTGTTACACGTATATTGTACGTGTACTTGTTCGATCTGACTATAATCAAGTCACGCGGTTAGCCACGAGAACTCTCACGATGGAAGACTAATTCCCTGGTCTTTTCCAACACTTGGAAACTCACGAGGCGTATCTCCAATTTCATTTGTTGTGTGTAATGTTTTGATTGCATCGTACGGGCATCCCTGGCGCTGGCTAAACAATAGGTACATTGAGAAATCTGAACACAGCATTTACAAGTCTATTATAGGATGTTCGTGTAACGATTTTAGAGCCCTCCGGTGGCATTACCAGGCCTTCTTCATCTTCTCGTTCCGTTGGTCACTGGAAGCTTACTAGGCCTGCAGTCGGACTACGACTTAATACTTCACTTCCTCATTGAAAACAATTTCTTGTTTGTTCTAATCGAAACACGTGATTTGCGATGATAGAAACGTGACTAAAAAACAACGTTGCAAAATGCGGTGCCGCATGTCGATCAAACAAAACGTCGAAAAATTGAAGCTGTACTTGCCAAGTTTCGAACCTGGGACCTTCCGCGTGTGAAGCGGATGTGATAACCACTACACCACAAGCACTCGAACGATTCGACCACGGAACTTCACTAAGTTTCTTTAAATCTTTAAGTCTCGCGCTAATTTCATGTCCAGTAGTTATTCCGGCATTTTTCTTACGAAATCCTCATTCCTCTCACGAGGGAAGCTCGTTAACCTCACAACCACGAGTCGTCATGTACTGTACGTTGCATTTGTTCCTCTTCAGTAATGGCGATTCCTCGCAGATCCAACTCGCAAAAGTCGTTTGCTCATCTTATTCTTCGGTTACGTGTTTTCAATCACCAAATTGATTCGCCGTTATCACAGAGGAAAAATTCGCATTCGTTTTCTGGCGTGTGACGATTGCAAACACCTTTCGCTCTCTACGCCTGCTTGAATGTTTACGAAATTCTTTCGACGTTTCCTCTCGACTGAAGCTCTCCGATCCGTACGTGTAAAATGAATCACTTTTGAATACGATCCTCGATCTGTTGAAGAAGAAGAAATACGGTTTCGTTGTTGTTCGGCAGGTGTCTGTGGTGTAGCGGTTATCACATCCGCTTTACACGCGGAAGGTCTCAGGTTCGATCCCTGACAGACGCAATATTTTACGACAGCTTCAGGAGTTTTTTGTTCAACGTAGGAGATGTCTTCTTGTTTCAGTGAACTTTTCTTTTAGTAGTTCGTTTAACAGATAATAGAGAGGTTGCGGCCGACGTTTTTCATCGCAAAAACGTGTACGTCGGACGTTCAGCACCGCTTTCCTATAAGCCTAGAAGTTTGTCAATGGGGTTTGGATAGTCAGTGGAATCATGCTCGACATTCCAAACGCCATTGTCAAACTCCTAGGCTTACAGGAAGGCGGCGCTGAACGTCCGACGTACACGTTTTTGTGATGAAAAGGTCGGCCGCAACCTCTCTAGTGATTGACTCTGTATGCAGCCGTTGCTGCTGCGGTACCGATCGAGAGCGTTGTGTCCTAAACTTAAACAGGTGGATCATTTCGACCGGGCATCTCGTGTTAGACTCTAACTGTCAAATCTTTGTTGTACTGTGCACAAACTGGAAATTTCTTCGTAATTTCTTTTAGGCTTATTTTTTTAAATCATTTTTTTCTTAATAATCTTAATAATAGATATTTTAATATTTTTAAAATTTGTAAATGATTTAATAAATATTATTACAAAACATATTCGAGTTATTCATTAAATATATAGTAAATTTTAATACGAAGGGACAACATTTTATTTTTAGAAAAATATATTAAATTCGAAGATTGTATTGAGTGTTAAGCAAGTGAATACTTTCAACATTTCCATACAAATCGTACCAATTATAATGGGATAGGTATCGTTATTGGAACGAGAAACATAAACCATCGTTTAATAATGTTAAAGGTGAGTGCGGCTTGCAGCCCTTGTTACCTGCTGTGTTAGGATGTTGGTGGAATGAAAGAAATGATCTGACTTTTTTTTTCTTTTGATGTGCTATTCGTACGCCAGCAATTCGAAAATTTCTTAAACACGGCGTGAAAATACATTTTGTACCATATACAGAGAGAGAATACTATAAGGAAAAATGGTGCAACGTAATTTGTAACAGAAGAGATCGCATGTCACGCGTGGCAGCTTGCATTTATCACAATGATGAACAGCGTTGAACCGAAACATCTCTAAACATTTTCAAATAAACCAATAAACATCACCTCAGAGAAATGATCATGAAAGTTCTAGCTCAATGGAATTTTTCGTATCTCAAGGTAGAGACGATGAAGTTGTGCATTCATGAACAGTGTGACAGGGATTTTACAATTACGGTCTAACACGAGATGCCCGTCGAAATGTGCCACCCGCTTAAGTTTGGGCAACAACGATTTCCTTCGGTACAGCAGAAGCAACGGCTCCACACCGAGTCAATCATTACCTGTTAAACGAACTACTAAAAGAAAAATTCACTGAAACAAGACGACATCTCCTGCGTTGAACAAAAAACTCCTGAAGCTGTCGTAAAATATTGCGTCTGTCAGGGATCGAACCTGAGACCTTCCGCGTGTAAAGCGGACGTGATAACCGCTACACCACAGACACCTGCCGAACAACAACGAAACGGTATTTCTTCTTCTTCAACAGATCGAGGATCGTATTCAAAAGTGATTCATTTTACACGTACGGATCGGAGAGCTTCAGTCGAGGGAAACGTCGAAAGAATTTCGTAAACATTCAAGCAGGCGTAGAGAGCGAAAGGTGTTTGCAATCGTCGCACGCCAGAAAACGAATGCGAATTTTTCCTCTGTGATAACGGCGAATCAATTTGGTGATTGAAAACACGTAACCGAAGAATAAGATGAGCAAACGACTTTTGCGAGTTGGATCTGCGAGGAATCGCCATTACTGAAGAGGAACAAATGCAACGTACAGTACATGACGACTCGTGGTTGTGTGGTTAACGAGCTTCCCTCGTGAGAGGAATGAGGATTTCGTAAGAAAGGTGCTGGAATAACTACTGGACATAAAATTAGCGCGAGACTTAAAGATTTAAAGAAACTTAGAGAAGTTCCGTGGTCGAATCGTCCGAGTGCTTATGGTGTAGTGGTTATCACATCCGCTTCACAAGCGGAAGGTCCCAAGCTCGAAACCTGGCAAGTACAGCTTCAATTTTTCGACGTTTTGTTTGATCGACATGCGGCACCGCATTTTGCAACGTTGTTTTTTAGTCACGTTTCTATCATCGCAAATCACGTGTTTCGATTAGAACAAACAAGAAATTGTTTTCAATGAGGAAGTGAAGTATTAAAGTCGTAGTCCGACTGCAGGCCTAGTAAGCTTCCAGTGACCAACGAAACGAGAAGATGAAGAAGGCCTGGTAATGCCACCGGAGGGCTCTAAAATCGTTACACGAACATCCTATAATAGACTTGTAAATGCTGTGTTCAGATTTCTCAATGTACCTATTGTTTAGCCATCGCCAGGGATGCCCGTACGATGCAATCAAAACATTACACACAACAAATGAAATTGGAGATACGCCTCGTGAGTTTCCAAGTGTTGGAAAAGACCAGGGAATTAGTCTTCCATCGTGAGAGTTCTCGTGGCTAACCGCGTGACTTGATTATAGTCAGATCGAACAAGTACACGTACAATATACGTGTAACACATTTATTCAGAAATGTTATAAATTTACGAAGGAAACATCGGAGAATTACAGTTGGTCAGACGTTTCATTTGTGACGTGTTTCTTCTTTATCGTTTTCGTCATGCGGGTCACGTAAGAAATCTGACATCACGTGGTACCTTTCAAGAAATAACACTCGACTGTTTTCTGCCACAAAATACAACAATTCATACTTTAATTTTAATTAAAGCTTTTTACTGTACACAAATTTAACATGTATACAGTGATTTAAATTTATCAATACACTTAATGAATATACGAGTATATACACTAAAAGTCCCAAGCCTGAGATATCTCGGGCATGTTACATAGCGTTACGAAAACCTCGGTCGTTAAGGTTACATTCGAAATTTTTTGGAATTTTTGGAATGTTTTTTAGATCTCCAAATTTTTTCAAAAATTTTTACCCTCGCGAAAAAATATTATCGCGATTTTAGTCAACCTTTAATGACGCGCGATTAACGCTTAATTGTTTTTTAATGGGATTTTGATATCAAATTTATTCATTGTTCTAAAGTTGTAGTGCACGGATTTTACTTCGGTAAAGTTANAGTTCTCGTGGCTAACCGCGTGACTTGATTATAGTCAGATCGAACAAGTACACGTACAATATACGTGTAACACATTTATTCAGAAATGTTATAAATTTACGAAGGAAACATTTACCGAATCGGAGAATTGCAGTTGGTCAGACGTTTCATTTGTGACGTGTTTCTTCTTTATTGTTTTCGTTTTCGTCATGCTGGTCACGTAAGAAATCTTACACCACGTTGGTTGAGTTGGTTTGGCCACGTAGAACGAAGTGACAGTTATGTTGGAAAGAAGATCGGAAAACTAGTGGTAAAAAGAAAAAGCAAAAGAGGAAGACCAAAGATGCTTTCAAAGATAAGGTGGAAGAAAACTTGAAACAGTGAGGACTTAAGAGAGAAGAAGCCCTTGATAGGGAGAAATGGAAAAAAATGTATTAGAGAATGAAACGTCGACCCCATTTAAACATGGGAAAAACGAAGATAAAGAAGTAGAAGAAGAAGAATTTTGTTTTGTTGTGAAATTTTGTTATCCATTTAGTTTTATTTAAATTTTGCAGACGAAAGTTAACAATGAATCAATCTTATATTATAATCGAGATGGGTTGTTAATAATAATAATAATAATATTAATCGCAGAGCCCAAACGGTTAGGAATTGAATGTTGAAATTTGATACACAGTTAGGGTACGTCATGAAAATGTACACAATGAAGCAATTTTCCGAAATCGCCCCGCGAAAAGAGGAAGAGAGTTAAGGATTACACTGAATTCGGATTTTACTGTACTATTTTAAATGCGGTTTTTTTTTTTTTTGCTGAAAATCGAACATACATTTAGACCCATCTAAAAATTTTCTAAATAGTCTCGGAAGAGAGTGAGACTAATTTTGGCACCCGGTAATGCGGGTAAGTTCGGCTGTAATCTAATAATCTTAATCTTCGCTATCGTTACATTTTGCAGAAGTAACGCCGGGCTCATCTGCTATTTATTTCTAAAATTGTCGATCGAAGAAATATTAAAATATTTTAATTTTTAGATAAGAATTTATAATTTTCCCTTCTTTAAATATGAATATTAACCATTACTAAAAACACTCGAAGATATAGTTAAAAATATTAAATTTTATTTACAAAATGTTATATTCTCTCACAGTATTATTTAATTTCATTACTTTAAATTTAATAAAAAAGAAATTTTTAAATTTGGCATTGCAGCACCCTATTTTGATACGGAGACAACGTTTTTCTCTTCTTCTGCTTCGTCCAAATCATCAGCCCAAGGTTGCAATTCGGCTGAACCGAAAATCAGGAAGATGACCATCGCCAATAAAGAAAATCCCGCCGACAGATAGTAGACGTAACTCCATTGCACCATGCTTCCTTGCTGTAAGCAGAATTAAACCATCAATCAAATTTCATTACAATAAGAATACATTAAGAAACTTTAGTAATAAATTTTAAAAAAATTATGAAGTTTTTATGATAAATTAGCTTCTGTTTATCAAATAAAATTTATTTACATTTTTATCTAGGAACAGTCCAGCTATATATGGCGATAAGAAGCCAGGAATTGCAGCCATTCCATTAGTCAATCCGAACAACGGCCCTGAAACGTAAGAAATATTATATTTGTAATTGTTTAAAGCTTAAGAATAAACAGAAATATGCTTATTTTACCAATTCATATTACAAACTTCACGTTTATATGGTTGACCGAGACGTATATCGTTATCTTAAGTTCGTTTTAAACATTGTTTTAAGTAATCTCGAGATTTATTGTCTGCCTCTTTTATGATGAATTATCACGAATACGAAACGTCTTTATCATTTGCAACAATCTTATCAAATTTAATATCAATAATTTAACTCTGAGTCGATATTGCAATTTTATCCGCAAGGGAAAACAGCAATTTTCATCGTATTTTAAGGGTAAATCTGTATACAATTTAAGAAATATTGAAGAAAAATACTAGAGGAATTGATATTTTGACTAAGGAGCTTTTGAGGATTTTTCGGAAAATAATAACAACGGCTCTTACGCGACTTTTATAGCACTCGAATAGAAGGTTAAGGGACCAGAAAGACCGATAATTTTCAATTAATTTCTAAAAGGCCTTATCTTTTGGAGTAAGAGCAAGTGTTTAAAAACGTTGTTAATGCCAATAAAGGAGTAAAATTTCATTAACTCTGACCCCACTCGAGATACGAACCTACCCTTACTTACCTCTTATCTCTAAAATGTAATATCATTAATGCCCTAGATAGAAGTGTCGTGTGAAATTTCAAAATTTTTTATCCACGGGGCTTGAAATTTAGAGCAAAATACAAACGAACATATGTACACACACATAACTTTATATATATGAAATATAAAGGCCTTCAAAAACCTCAGAAAATTTTCATAAAATTTCATGAAAAATAGTAAAGTTAAGGAAATTCCAATCGAAGTATAATATGTAAAATAAAACACTGAAGAAAATACAAAGAAAATTAAACAAATCGAATAAACTACATACAAGTTTTGAGTTTCAGAATTTTAACACGTAATGAAGAAAATATGATTAATATTTACCCGCGTATTTAGGCGCTAAATTCAGAATGATTGCGTTGTCACCGCCACCAACAAGACCCATGAAGCCAGTTGTCATGATGAGTATTATTATGACGTTTGTTGAATCACATCCAACCCGAGGAATGCATATCAGGCATGCACTGGTTCCTATAACAGCTAAAAATACAATAACTTAATGATAATCGAAACGTTATATTGTGTAATTAGGATATTAACACTTACCAAGTGTCTCGAAGCCTTTTCTGACGTTTGTTGCGCTGAAATATTTACGTTTAATAAACAAATCTGATAAGTAACCAGATATAATGAGGCAAAACGAATTTGTTGAATATATGGCTGCGTTTATTAAGCCATTCTGTAAAGAAATAAATTTATTAATGTGAATTTTCTTCTAAAAATATTTATTAAAATAGGCAGACGTTACCTGCTGTATTGGGAAATGTAGGACATTCTCGACATACGATGGTAATTTTGATAGAATGGTATAGAAACTCCAATAAAACAACAATTTTACAATGCACGTCGTCCATACTGGTACAGATGTTAAAATACTCTTCCAAGGAATTTTCTGGTTGTGTTGAATATGCAAAATTATGTTAATAAGGAAGCACTGTCTCAAAACATTTAATTAAAATCTCAATTTACAATATACCTTAATGTTATTAGTATTATTCTTCGAGTTTTGTTGTATATGAAGAATCTCTTTTTGAGTAATGCCGGAAAATTCTTCCGGATAATCATATACAAAAAATAACAAACCGAGAGACAAAACACATCCATAAATACCTGAAATATAATAAATGTAATTGTTTAACATTGGTGAATAATAATTAACTCTATAGAATAAATTAGATAATTACCAATGACGTAGAATGTTGAAGGCCAACCACCCGAGAAACCATATTCACACAAGTAACCAGACAATGAAGTAGATATTATGGAACCAATCAAATTTCCACTTATGCATATAGACATTAACGTACTTCGTTCGTTAACTGGAGACCATCTCGAAAGTAATGTAATTCCTGATGGAAACGTCAGCGCCTAAAGTTAAAAAACAATTACTTTGAAAATATTAAAAACTTAAATGTGGTTTAAGTAACTTACATGCAACACTCCTAAGACAACTCTCTGACATGACAAGGCCGCTATACCGAGTTCGGCTATAAACGGTGATATCGATAATAACGCCGACGAAAAAAACACAGTAATGACGTAAGTTCGCTTGACACCTAACAGATGAATGACAGAACCTCCCAAAAACTGGAAAATGACATAACTATAATAGAAACTTCCTAAAATAATTCCTTGTTCGGGTTGACTCCAAACGAATTTTCCCTATAGTAAACAAAATACACCTATTAGTCAGATGAGCACTATATTATGTGTAATATACGATACGACACTCACTTCTCTGTAATTATACGTGATATTTTGATTTTCAGCACTATCAGGGCATTCGTGAGGTAGAGTATTTTCAGTTTCGCTCATCTCGACCGCCGAATTATTTACCATGGCCACAATAGCTACGTTCAGCGCGACTCTATGAGCATACATCTCCATACATACCAAAAATATAAAGAAAACCAACACATATCGTGCAGGTAAGATTTCTATAACAAAGAAAAACAAGGAAATACTATTTGAGAAAGTGAAAAAATTATGTTACGCTCCAATTTTGAAAAAAAATTAAATAATATTCTACAGCGAAGATAAGAGATGTATCAAATTTTAGAGGTTACTTACTGTATAAGGCTTTTCCATCGCGTACGTCCTGCTTCATTTTGAAGTATGAAGCTTTCGAATGGACTGGTGTCACTTTTGTATAGAAGCTTACGTCACTCAGCTTTCGTAATTTTATCAACTGTATTATAATTCAGCATCAGTGATATATAACCCGCTATCTACGGTCAAAATCCCGTTTCGACAGTTTTAAATTTAAATGTTACTGCCAAAAAAATGGATTGCAACCTAATTTGCTTACGTCGAAACCATTTACGTATACGTAGATATATGTTTTTATGTTATAGACATTTAATATTAAAGGAGTGTGGTTTGTATTTGAGATTTCCTAATTAATATCTTATTATTAAATTAAGTTTTTTGTGGACAGTCTGAGTAGACGGTTTGTTTTATATTTTGGATCGAGTTACTTGAACTGATGTCCCCTCTCTTGTATTATCTGGAAAATTCTGCTAATTAAAAACACGTCGAATGAAATTATCTATTTATAAGTTATATAAATTTAAATCGTTATAAAAGTTCTAAGTTTTATGAAATTGTTTGTATTCGGTTTTATACGCGAAGCAGTAATTAATATATCATTCACATTTAAAAAAGAAAATAAAAAAAGCTTGAATTATATAAGTGGTTAAATTGATTATTCATTCCTTTAATACTGTATCTTCTTGCATTAAAAAATATCTTATAATTTTAGAAATATTTTAGAAATATAAATTAGTTTAAATGTATCATTACAAGATCAGAAAATTGAATTTAAATCGTTGTGAACATTGAAAAATTTCTATAGAAATTTACATTAGGTTGTTGCTATGGCCTCTTGACTTACAATAATTTTATAATTCTTTATCATTGTGAGTTAATTTTCTATTTGTCCTATTTTATAGAATTTGTTTGTGAATTAAACAGCTAATGTATCCTCCGTTCTGTATGATTATCAAAGATATAAGTAATTTTTCTGTCATTATAAAATTACAATTATCCTGATAACATTATCATGATCGTCATTAATCTAAAGTCTACAAAACAATTTTATAAGTAAATTTATACCCTTTTTTTCGTATTAGAAACACGAACGTAATTAATTTTGTGTACATCAGCTTACAGCTCTTCATTCTCTGTAAACGTCGCCATTCTGATTTAAAACGGGAATCATTTTCAAATTTAATTAAATTTTAATAGACTATTTAACTTTTCTCGTGATATAAGAGAGATTTCTCCTCTAAGAAAGTGTCAACGTAGCTCACAGAGACGTACATTATACGTTCCAGGTGTTTTGTAAGAAAAGTGCATAAAGAGAATTTCTTTAAAAAAGTATAAAATTCATACATTGAAATTCAATATACCGTATTATCAATCCTTTAAATAAAATTACTGATATACAGAACTCTGCGTAACTTCAGTATCACAATTTTTAAATGATGGATGCTACAAAATAGAAATGCGTAAAGATAATGTAAAGGTAACTATAGGTTGCAAAAAATCACATAGAGAAGAAAAATAGTAGAAAACTAATTGACGTTTAACAAAGAGTGAATAGGAGAAAACTCGTAGAAGCAACGAGATAAAATAGGAATAATGCAACTATGGGATAAAACAACTGTAAATCTTAAATGTGATCTGAATGTGGGAGCTAAGAAGAATGACAAAGAATTTTAGAAGCTGCTTGACTGACTAAATCTCTAAATTCGAAAGAGTGTCTTCTTATTCGCTTTATTTATTCAGCACAATGGAGTACAATTGATAGGACACAATGCGTTAATTACATTCTGTATTTATTCATTGATACGCAATTCGGGTTCTTTTAACCCTCTTAAGTTAGCCTTTCATTCCTTTTTGTAGTTTTGTGTATACCAAGTGACTCGTATAATATTAAAATACTTTTTTCTTTAAAAAATGTTACTCATGCATGCTTACAATTTTCTGACTTTTTCAATCATTTTTTAATCTAAACCTGGGCTTTCTTTTTTAATGGAGGATTGGATAATTATCGAATTTATACAATATACAATATAGGCAATCCATTTTTAAAAATTATAAAATATTAAAACATATCCGTTTTATACAATACTTATCAGTCATTTTTATACAGTTTAACAAAAATATTTTTTAAACAATCGATTATTATTCACATCTAATTGATTTAAATACGTTTAAAATTAATACCGTATTCTCTNAATAATATAGTTTTGGCGATTGTCAAAGCGAAATTTTTGTCGAAGTTATTCGATACGAGTTAATTTTCTGTTTATTATTTTGTTGAAGATGAGTTTTATCAGTAAGTTTACCACTTCCTCTTATACATATAATTTTATTCATTAGATCACCGCGGGTTAACAACGTAAATAAAAGCATCGCGTTAAATGTAACTTATAGAAAATAAATGAAAATATTCTAATGTAAACTATGATAATGATCAATTCTGTACTTTCTCGTTTCAATGAGTTAATTACATGTAATAATTATAAAATTATTATTTACAGATGTTGATTGTTATTGCATTGAAACTATTTTCTGGTACGAAGATGGTTTTTATGTTACTTATGATTATCAAGTAAGTGAAAAAATACAATTTTATCTTACTTTATCTTACAGTAAATATTCATACAATAACGGAAATAAATTATACAAGTGATGTTAAGATTGCATAAAAATAATACAAATACTTAATATTTTTATAACTAATTAATTCTGTTTTACATTTTAGTATTTCATACCAAATGGCGAATATAGACATTATTCACTACTTTTTCCATATCAGCAAGCTTCTGTACCGCTTGCTTACGGACATCCAAGTCAAGACGGTTTATACGGACCGCCATTAGAAGGATTTCAGACCCCAAATTATTGGTCAGAGGCGGAAGTGGTTTCAAATGAACCTTTCCAAGAAGAGCAGCAGTTTGAAGTGGCAACAAATATACCAGAATTTTGGCCACGGGCAGAGATGGAAGAAAATGAACTTCTAGAAGTTCGTCCATTTCAAATACGAATAAACGAATCGTAGTCTCTTGTAGCCGAAACGTCGCTACATTCGATTCAACCAAATATGTTGGAAAACAATCCTCAATCGAAATCTGAGACTCAAAAAGAAGTGTCCGAACATGAAATTGTCGTTCCGGATATAATAAAAAATAAAGATTCTTCATTAGAAACTTTTGAAGAGTTATCGATTTCAACGCATCCACTTAATAATGGTAAATTCTATTAAACTTATATTGATAATAACATACAAAACACATAAAACACAAACTAATATATTAACGATTATGTGCCAATAACAACAGTTATATTTAAAATAAGTGTTCGTAGGGCTAATGAAATAAAGCCCAGACCGTATCCCTACAGCCAATAGACCACCTAGATCCTATACAATAACAGTTTAATTACAAAACCCCTAGAAAACTATTTATATAATTTTAAGTATATAAATAAACATAAATAGTAATTGTAATTCATCAGTACAAAAAGCATTATAGGTAGTACACAAATACGAGTATAAAGAAAACACAGCCAGATATGTGGACCACGACCGCGTAAATTTTGTGTCCACGAAATTTAAAATCAAATTAAATTTATTAAATATTTACAACATATTTCAATATAAAGTTATAGCATTTTGTGTATTTAATATAAAATAAATTGATTTTCTTTAACATTTTGTATTGCTCCGAAATAAATTTATTGACTATTCTTTTTCCGTGTCATTGTTATACTTTAGAAGTGGAATCAGAACCTGGAATTTTCTGTACAATTGATTCTGATGCGAATAATTCCGCATCTTTCAATACCGAAAAAAATATGGAGCGAATTAATCAAACTGAAACAATAATGGACGTAACAGGAGACACCACAATTGACGAATCGGAAGATTTCGATGTCGACGAAGTTTCTATTGCTGTAAGTTACATATGATTAGATTATTCTTTTCGGAATATTTCTTAATACTGTTGATAAATACAACATTGTAAACATTGTAGCAGTAGACATTGTACAAAGCACTCGATCTAAATTGGCCAAAATATAAGAAAATATTTTGAAAAACCTTTAAATAAATTTACTAAAATCTATCGAATACATTTTAAATTGAATTGAATGTGGGAATTTACTAAATCTTAATAAATATTTCAAAATTAAATTTCAGTTTCCAACGAAATCCGATCTCCTGAATATGCCTCCCGCGTGGACAAAGGACGAATTCTACGAAAGACCTCTGAAATGCGCTTTTAGATATTTAGAAAAAACATCGTTAGTCAAAGAAGTGATATACGAGGAAGAAGAATTTTATTATATCGAAGACGAACTGTCCGAGCTATCCGAAAGCGATGAATTAGAAACGAGCACTACAATAAGTGAAGATGACAATGACTTTCATTCCAATGAAAAATCTGATGAGGTCGATACTGAAACTGACGTATCGATATTCGGTGATATATTTGAATCCTTACCCGAAAGTGAATCACCAATTGATGTAAATATTGAACCATCCCATTCATCAGACAAAGATGAAATGATAACACCTGGCAATGGCGAGGAAACGATTCGAGTGAAGAAATGTAAAGAAGGTAAGATACGTTATATTTATCTCTTTGATGCTTTTCTTCATTTGTGTAACTAAACATTGTTTTAATATGCGAAAAATTGTCAAATTTCGAGAATAACACGTTGTTAGTCGTAAAGCACATTTACATATTAAAGTAGTTCTGACGAGTTTTAATACATTGACAGACCCAATCTTAATTATACTTTCTCGTGTTTGATGTAACAGTTTATAGCTTCAATAGAAATTTTAAGAGAAACGTTTTAAACAGTAAGATTGTCTTTTTTGCAGAAAAAAAGCGAGGAAGGAAACAAAGATCCAACAAAGAATAAAACTTAGAATTTGACAAAGGAAATTCATATCCAAGAAACGAAAAACGACGAAGATAAAAGTTTCGTTGGAGCAGAAATCATTTCGGAATCTGTTAAAACCGTAAGAAAACGATTATTTATTCCTACTTTTGTCGACATTTATTTATGTTCATTTTTTGAATGAATTGTTTACTAATTTGGAATATTTTTTTGTCATTTTTACATCAAAATATTATTTAAGTTTAAAAGTTTTTTAATTGATGTCGAGTACAATTAATTATTTCTGCAAAAAAAAAAAAAACACTTTATATATAAGCCTAGAATATTTCGTTTTATATTTTTAAGATACTTGAAAATTGTTTTATATTATTTTTGATTTATTAAAATATTTATACTTTTTTCAGGAACCTCCAAAATGTTTGGACGTTGTGATGCAGATTCTCAGAAGAATGACATTTTTCATTTTTCCGTGCATTAAACCAAAGCATTCGTGTGATGGATAACTGAAAGAGAATTTTAATTCTTATAATGTGTTGACGTCCCCAATATTAATCGGGGTAAGACTTTTTCTGTTTATTAGAATCGAGAATCGAAATAATAATGGACTCGTGCCCCCTTATTATTCGGTCATGTGAAGTTTTTCGGGCTACATCTAAGTATGGGCCAGTAACCCCATCGAAACTCTTAACGGGAGGTACAAGTACTTACTATATGACAGGTGTGTTAAGTTGTCGTATCCCATCAACCCAATGCAACCGAAAAGGTGGGTCATACAGAGTGCAACGTCGTACCCCTGTTAATTCTATGACACTTCAATAATCGTGTGACTAATTCATTTTTAACAAAATTTAATTGTTTTACACAAATGTTTTGAAATAACCCATTTATTTTGGATTAGTTAATTAATATTCTTGATTTAAAATGTTATACTTTATCGGGTTCAGTGGTTTTATACATTCGTGTTTAAATTCGTGCATTTGTGGAAGTTATTTATAACTTTTATATTTTAATTATAACGTAATTTGTTGGGTAAATACTTCAATTTTATATCTTAATTGTTAGATGAAATACGAATTTCTGCCCTTAATTTATTAATATAAGTAATTTATAAAAAAAAAAAAAAAACAGATTTTCCGTACCTTAATTTCAATTTATTTTATGTTTTCAGGAAACAAAATTTGAAAAATTTTAAATTTAAGTTTATTTAAATGAAGGAAAAGAAAATCCTGAAGATAATCGAATTTAGAAGTTCAGAAATTATTGACAATGAAACTGGAACATTTCTGATCAAATTTAATAATGATTATCTGTAAATTTTGAACACATCTAATTAAATAATGAGGATTTTCAAATTGACGTCTAATGAAACAAAATTATTAATTTCCTAATTAATACATTTAAATTAAAATTCATGTATTTAAATTGATTAAATCAATAAACGTCATTGATATTTTCGGATCATGTGTGATGTTTTTATTTATTTTCCGATTTATCACTTTATATTATACAGATGATGTAAATTACTTTACAAGTAAAATGCAAGCGAATACACCATATATTTTTTCAATTGAAGGTTATGAGAAATGTTTCCAAATTTTCTGATATATTGTTTGTCTCTTCAATTTACTGTCGCATGCACTTACAATTCTCCATTGCCTGTATTGCTCTCGCTGCTTTGGATCATCTTGCTGTAGGTAATTTATTTTACTAATTAAACCAATTGTTTCCATTGGCCAATATAGAGAATTGTATCCAAAATCGAGCCACTTTAGTTTTATAATAAATATGTAGTGGGGCTGGCTAATGCGGTCAGGTACACTACTTACTGCATAGTCTTGGGGTCAAGCAGCAATGTAGCACCATCAGCTCAGATGAGTTCAAATTGAACATATGTTTAATTCTTAAATATGATCCGTCGTATTGTAATTACGTCGAGGTAAACGAGTGTACAATGTACAATATGAAATTATAAACGGGTTTTTACAGCGAGAAATTATAGTAATGGGTGCGTTGCCTGGGGAAACGGCTTTAATACAGTGAAATAAACAAGTCAATGGCATAATCCATTTTATTTCGAACCGATTATGTCATTGGTTTGATTACTTCATAATACGTCTGAAATGAAACGGGCTATGTCATTAGCTTGTTTATCCAGCTGTATTAAAGCCTGTTTACCGGGTATCGCGCTGTCCATAAATTACGTCCGCACTTTTCTTTCCGCATTCTCCTTTCTCCATTATCTCAATTTGTCCAAGTTCCGTAACCTGTCTCTCTGTTCGGACGTCCAACAAATCTTTATTACTTTACGAATAATAAAATGTATAAACTATGTAAAATTTAATAAAATTAAATTGACGTCTATTAAAGTTCAACTCCTTCCATCTTTCTTGTCCCACTTGTCATAACCCCTCATTTATGGACAACTCCATATTGCTAATGTCTCATATACAATTCAGTTGTGTTTACTCCTTAAATCATGTATGTATTGTTATAAACTTTGTAGAAAACGTGTACAGGTCATCAAATTTTTACTAGCATCTCGAATGGATTCGCTGGTTGCATTCGTCCTTTTCAGTATTTTTTATTAATTTTTTGTTTATTTATTTTCACTTTCTTCTGCAGTGAAGCCGAGTCCCAGACATTTGACTTATTTGTCAATCGTGCACTAGCTGAATGCATATTTTTTTACTCTAAGCACGATCGATGCTAATTACTCTAGCATATAAATTAATTTTTCATTTTATGAAAGCACGCTTAGTGCACATTTTATATTCCCGATTGTTATATTTAGGTTATATGTAAATGGAACGATTAGCATCAGATCAATTTATTATCGATTTTCTATAGAAAATTGTTTGTTTGTTTAAGCTATGGCAACGCAACACTTTGGCGATCTGCCTAGGGATAACTAGATAACTTTTCGTAGATAACTTTTTAAGGATAACTGGTACCTATTATAAGGAACTTTTCTTTCGTAGATAACTTTTTAAGGATAACTGGTCCCTATTTAGGCGTTACTGAGGTGGAGAAAACCCGGAAAACACCAAGTAGCCCGTTCCTGACGAGGTTCGAACTGATGAACGAACTTCCAGTGTTTGGGAAACAGAACCGTTTAGCTATTTGTAAGCCTTCTATAGAAAATTATTCCGATATTCTAATGACGCATACACGATAGATTTTACACACGTAAATGAAAACGATATTCAAAATAATCCCCGTATCTAATTTTTATTTAACATATTCGAATTTAAAAGAATATAAAAGATATTATTTTGCAATAAAGATAATGTCACAGAATTAACATGTCATTGAATAAATCATTCCGAATTTACTTACCGATATTATTGTGATTTATAACATTAATTTTATTTTCAGAATATAGATTTACATGTTACAAAAGATTTAAGAAATTCATAATAACTTTAGTGCCATTAAAATGTATGAAATGCAAGCACGCGAATATTTTACTTTCATGATGAAATGGAAATAAATTAATACAATTTTATGTGCAATGTAAATTGCCTGTTATGTCAGAAGCTGAAATGCTGCAGTTGGCTCAGTCTATTTCTTCTTCTTCGTCTGTTCGCTTCTTTCACTTTTTTGCCTATTTTTTCTTTTGTCTGCACGCGAATTCTAAATTTAAAAAACACTTTTCTTTTCAAAGTAAAAATGCGGGTAATTTTTCTAATAACTGTTGCAATAACTGTTGCAGTCTCGTTTACAAATTCTGAAGGGTAAGAATTAGTTTTATTCCTATTTTATTTCGAATGACATCACTTGGCATAATTAATTTGTAATGCACTGCAAATTACTTTTTATTGTCTAGAAATTATAAAGTTAATTTCGTATTCGGTATTCTTTCTCTAAATTATTATCATGAATTCGGACAGAAATTCACAAATTTGCTTGAATTGTTTTTTCCATCCCTTCTTGGCCTCAGCTTCGATTTTTGGTTACGAACCTTTTGTTAAAAGTGGTTGCATTTATCGATTGCCTTCTGGTTCATTCGTCGAAACCTTCAAAATGGCATATTATTACATGATCGAGATGTTTTTATGGGGAAATTTCTTTCTAACTCTATTTCAGACGATTCCAAATATAAGCAAATTTGCCCCTTGTATTGGATTTTTTTACCTTTTTGGAAGTGACGTCATTTTTAATAAAATTACCTTAACTCTTCTTAGTTTCGGTATAGCGCTTACATTCAGTTGGATGCAAAGAAAGAAAATTTGCTCGTTCTTAAATGTACGCATTTTTAGTGAATCAGAGAGAATAAAGATGCAACGATTCTTTCGGAAAATTTGGATCAAAGGCTTGATTCTTACTTATGATTTTAATGTTGGATTTCAGTTTTTAAATTTGTTCATTTTCTATCCATTCTATGATAAAATTTGGCATTTCAAACACGAAAGATTATTCTGTAGTTTAAACTACGGTATTTGGATTTTCTTTTTGAGTGGTATATTATTTCACTGCTCTGTAATTCTTTTCTGCCTGTTTTATATGATACGGAAAGGATTCCTAAAGATTTCCGAACATCTTAGAGCACTGAAATTCGATTGTTACAATTTAAAAAATGAAATAGAATCGATTATTATTCAACATGACGATTTATGGTTATATATGAGAAATGTTAATAAATCTGTAGATTATCTAGTGCTTATATTATATGCACTACTATTGTTAGAAACAAGCCTCATGTTTGTCGCCATGTTGTCTTCGAATAATTTTCTGGAAGTAAAATTCATGAATCTCGTCGGTTCGTGCATGTATTCTGTCGGTTGCATTATAATCAGCTTCTTCATGGCTTCAGTTATATCGGCAGTAAGTATATGTTTATTGAATATTCTTATTGGTTTCATCTATATCTATATCTATATATATATATATATTATAATACAATTCAGTTGTGTTTACTCCTTAAATCATTCCGAATTAACTTAACGATATTATTGTGATTTATAACATTAATTTTATTTTCAGAATATAGATTTACATGTTACAAAAGATTTAAGAAATTC